TGCAGACTTCTTGAAGCCAGGGTAAAAGCTCTGGAAAAGTATTTGAAAGAGGCAGAGAAAGAAAATAAAATTCTTGAGAAGAAACTTCCCAGAACCCCAATGGAGGAAGCCATAGAAAGAACTAAGCAAGAGTTTAAGGCAAGGGTCGATTTATCTTCATGCGCATTGTGACAGCTGACCCTACTGTCACACAGACCTGAATGGTAATCATTTTGTTTGTTTTATCCTTTACATTAATTTAGACATCAATTAGTGAATAGTTTAGATTTTTATTAAAAATTATTTTCATTAGTCTGACCTTTTAGTTAACTATTTGCAGTGCACACATTTAGTTAACTTTATTTGTCAGTTCTTTATATTTTTGTTAAAAGCAACAAATTAATTTCTTTGTTTTGAGTTACCAGTTTCCTTTGGAGCTGCTGGAGGGTCACAGAAGAGCTCCGGCTAATTGACGTCCTTATATGGCTGGCAAAACCTCCTCAGCGGGCCGTTCCATTTGTTTGCCAGGGGACGGGGAAATTTGGTTTTCTTTAATTTAATTTGACCATTTCTTTAATGTTTCTTCTGTTTGGTAGTTTCAGTCTAATGTTTGTTTAATTTAAAGATTTGGAATTGTATTTGTTTAAGTTTTTGCATGTTTAAATTACCCCTTGTGTGTCAGCAGTGGTCTGATCAGCCACTATTTAAGTTCCCCTCATGTCTTGTTTGTTAGGTCAGTTTTGTGCTTGAGTTCTTTGTGTTACCACCTGAGTTGTAGTTTGTTATGTTGACCTCAGTTTTGGGCCCAATTCTTCATTGTTTGATTATTTTTGAACTTTTTTGTAATAAATTAAGATTATTTTTTGAATTCCATTCAGCGTCTCTCTGGCTGGTTAATGTGAGAACCCTCACACACATTAACTGTGGAGAAAAAGCGAAACAGGACATTAAAAGAAAGTCTGGCGAAAAAAGAACAGGAGGTGAATAAACTCATGGAGCAGCAGGCTGAGACCTCCAAGCTATTAGACTTACAGCAACAGAAAGAGGCTCTGGCTGTGAAACAAAGTTTAGCCCACACAGAATATGATTGGAGAGACCTGAAGAAAGAAAATAAATCCTTAAATTATCAGCTAAAGTTACTATCCGAAACCAGGTAGAGAGATCAACATCACATTAAAGAAGTCACCAGCCAAGTGCGTAAGATGACAGAATTGTACTGGAGTGAGAAGATGCAACATGAGAATTTGAAGGAAACCATCAAGCGCAAAGGGGCTAAGGTAGAAGATGAAATTGCTTTGAAAGGACCTAATGATCAAAGTAAAGTTGAAACACAAACAAACGCTAAACAACTCAAACCTCTACCACCGATCCAGGAAAATAAACCGCAGCTACCAAAAACAAACTCAATACGTAATCAAAGAATTCTGGTTCTGCGGGAAGGAAAGGTAGAGGCAGCCTTTAATGATGAAAGCTTCACGACACAAGCAAAGCTGAAGCCAACAACCCCCAGCAAAAGGAAGCCTGAAATGCGGCCTTATACATCGGCAGGCAGGAAGGTTTCTTCCACGGAAACTGAGGGGAGAAAAATGAGCAGCCCAGAGTGCCACAGTAGATAACGGTATAGGGGTTAAACGCGATTCCCTCTTCACACGGGTTCACTACCTGTGGGAGAGACAAAGGGAATGGCAGCTAAAGATGGGAGACCTTGGTGGTCTGATCCTGAGCTACAGAAGCTCCGGTATCAGTGTCTGGTCCTCATTCCCGGCAGTAACTCGGGTTCGTTTCTGGTGAGAGTTGGACTCCGCCAAGGCCGCTTTGTCACTAATTCTGTTCAATATTTTTATTGACAGAATTTTTAGGCACAGCCAAGGTGTTGAGGGGATCCGATTTGGTGGCCTTAAGATCACATCATCTGCTTTTTGCGGAAGATGTGGTCCTACTGCGTTCATCAGGTCATGATCTACAGCTCTACTGGAGCGATTCGCAGCCAAGTGCAAAGTGGCCGGGATGAGGATCAGTGCCTCCAAATCCGAGGCCATGTTCTTGAGCTGGAAAATCTGGTTAGGATGCCTCCTGGATGCCTCCCTGGTGAGTGAGGTATTTCAGGCACGTCCCACCAAGAGACGGCCAAAGGGAAGACCCAGGACATGATGGAGGGACTATGTTTCTCTGCTGATGTGGGAACTCCCCCAGTGCTTTCTTTGAGTCTCCTAGAGCTTTCTCTGAGTTACCTAGTGCTCCCTCTGAGTCTCCTAGTGGTCCCCCTGAGACTCCTAGTGCTCCCTCTGAGTCTCCTAGTGCTCCCTCTGAGTCTCCTAGAGCTTTCTCTGAGTCTCCACCTCTAAGTAATTCCCTGAGTTTCCTAGTGCTCCCTCTCAGTCTCCTACTGCTCTCTCTGAGTCTCCTACTGCTCTCTCTGAGTACCCTAGAGCTCTCTTTGAGTCTCCTAGTGCTTCCTCTGAGTCCTCACCTCTTAGTGTTCCCCTTAGTTTCTTAGTGTTCCCTCTGAGTCTCCTAGTGCTCCCTCTGAGTCTCCTACTGTTCTCTCTGAGTCCCCTAGTGCTCCCTGAGTTTCCTCGCGCTTCCCTGAGTCTCCTAGTGCTCCGCCTGAGTCTCCAAGTGCTCCCTGAGTCTCCTAGCACTTTCTCTGAGTCTCCTAGTGCTCCCTCTGAGTTTTCTAGTGCTCCCTCTGAGTTTCCTAGTGCTCCCTCTGAGTTTCCTAGTGCTCCCTCTGAGTCTCCTAGTGCTCCCTGAGTCTCCTAGCACTTTCTCTGAGTCTCCTAGTGCTCCCTCTGAGTTTCCTAGTGCTCCCTCTGAGTCTCCTAGCACTTTCTCTGAGTCTCCACCTCCTAGTGCTCTCTCAGAGAGAATACACCACAATCACTCATCTCCTACCTGGGTTTGCTGCGTTCTCTCTCACCACCATCACCCGCATTTCATAACAGACACACTCTTTAAACTAAATGCATAGGTTTTCTCCGGGTGCTCTGGTTTTTCCTTCAGGAAAAAAAAAGTGATTAGGTTAATTGATCTCTTGATCTTACTTCTATATCTCACTCACTGACTGTTCACAAAGAATATGAATTTATCTATTTCAGATTCTTAATGTGTTTCTTTTTAGCACACACTCCTTAAATGGCCTCATGCAATGTTTTCCAGCCCTAGTGTTTCTTTATTTTCTGTCTTCTTAGTCGTCTTAATTTTTAACTGGTCATAGAATATGACCAGTCTCTCTAAGCTGGATTGTCTTCCTGTTAAAAGGAAGTTGTTTAAGTGTTTAGGCTAATTGGTCTCTTAATTTTACCTCTCTCTCTCACTCATAACTGTTGGACATACAAAAAATCTGAACTGAATAAAACTGTTTCTTTCTACCACACGCTCATTAATGGCCTCATACAATGTCCTCCAGCCCTCCATTTCTATTTGAAATAGGGTTCTTCAGGATGCCATTAACTAAACAAAAAAAGTGTGATTACTGAACACAGCAACTGCACTTAATCATATTTTCAATTTTACTTTTATTTATTGGTCTCTCATGGAAAATACTGTGGTGAAAATAGAAAAAATAAAGTCCAATAATACTATCTGATTTGTGTATGAGGGGGAGGTTTGCCATCAATGACTGAAAATTATTGAGACAAAAATAATTCAAAATTCTTATCATGATGAATTTTTCACAATAAATGATAAACAATATGATAAATGTCCATCCCTAGGCTTTACTCACAGTGGCACATGTCCTGTACAAACACAAGCAGAAAGGCCACTCAGTGAGGAAGAAGCCATTCCTCCAAAAGAATCATGAAAAAGTAAGATTGCAATTTGCAAATGCACACAGCATGTGAGGTATCACTAACATCTTGTCTTTCATTGACTTCCTCCATTCAGTGTGCTAAACACGTCTAATAAATAAGAAAAATTCCTAAAAGCTTATTTTAGGGAAAAGGCTACTTCTAATGCACTGCTAAGGCTAATGCTAAGACTAATGCTAAGGCTAATGATAGCACTAATTAGCAACTGCTAATTAGCACTTAGCTAAGGCTAATTCTAAGGTTAATGCTGATGCACTGCCTTGCTTCCTATGCTTTACCATAAGTAGCACTTCAAAAGAGCAGAAGTCTTATGTTTTTTGAACAATAACAATATTTGTTGTTAATCAGTTGCTAAGAGATCAACACGTTTTCTGGTAGCAAAGTGTCACAAAGTAAACATCTGACTTTTACTTTTGCAAAATTTACCAACTAAATTTCTTGTGTCTAAACAGATAAACAGTATTTCAAAAGAGCTTATGTTTTATAAACAATAATTAATTTGGTGTTGAGATGAGTGCTTTTTTCTGGTGTTGAACTGCTCCATAGTGTAAATCAGACTTTTGCTTTTGTATTGAATGTCTGTTTTATAATATATTTACCACCATGGATGGTAAAAAAAAAAAACTTTCACTTTTCAGAAAACATAACTGCACAATTCTTGTTGGGTAGTACTTATTGTAAGTTAAGTAGTATTTCAAAAGAGCAGAAGAAATCTTTTGTTTTTTGAACAACAATTAGTATTTTGGCTAATTTTAGCTTATACGCTAATTTTAAGATATTGAATGGAGTAAGTCCATGTTACTCAACATGCTTGTGACTCTCCACATGCTATTGAGGACATTGTATCTTACTTTAGCACTAATGCTAAGTTTTAGCATCAGAATGCTGGGTTCAATTGACGGGCACACTTTGGCAGGCCCCAATTAAATTTCTTAAGAAATTTCCTAGTTTTTTTCTTTTATTTCTTATTATGTCAGATATATATTTCTTCTATTTATATATTTCTTTTATTTATTATTATGTTGGATATATATTTATTCTTTTATTTATATATTTATTATTTTATTTATATATGTCGGATATATATTTATTGTTTTATTTCTTATTATGTCGGTTTTGGTCCTCCATAGCCTGGTGCTGACAAATGGGAATCCAACAAGATGCAGAATCAAAATCTGAATCAACAAAATTTAAATTATTCCCAACCCTACTACCAGGGATTATTTTATTAACTGATTTCTCCTTTAGTCTTGTTGTTTTGTTAGTTACATGGATGTGGAAACATGATGTCTGTATTGTCAAAACTGATCTAAAATCTTTTACTTATCTCTTGGTGCAGTTATAGCCAGGCTTGTCCTGAATTTTATAGACCATTTTATTTACCTTAATTAGCATGAATGGTTAGACAAAGAATGTTTCCAAGATACAAATTCAAGCATTTAAATAAAAAAAAAAGACAGTTGATGCTCAAAAAAGCGTTTACTACGTTGTCATGTATGGTCTACGAAGTCACACGTTCACTTCGCTGAGTAACATTTTCCTGACACATTTATAATTGTTAGAAACAAATCAATAGCATTAGTGCACGGTATACCTTCTTTATTTTACTGAGACATTTATAAATGTAATTACTGGAAAATGTTTAAACAAAAGACTTTGTCCTTTCCACATCAGGCAGTTTCTGAAAATGTTTAATATTGATCAGTCAAGAGGCAAAAGACGAACCAACAATCGCATGGGGACGTTGACGGTCTCACAGTAGTCTATGCATAATTACTGTTATGATGAAAATTTTAAATGTTGTAAAAGGAACTGCTGTCAAATGAGTTAAAGAAAAACAGAGATCACAATTCCAAGTGCTTACAGCTGATATATTTCATTAATCTTCAGGGATATGAAACTGTTAGTGGTGAAACACATTAGCTAGTTATCTTAGCTAGTAAAATGAGCTGTTAGTATGCCATTTGGAAAGCCTACAATTTACCTTCTTCATTGTAAATTACAGCTTCAATACGGGCCAATGAAGCAGACCCCCAAAAAGCATGCCAGTTGTTCAAAGAAAACCTGGATGAATAAAGAAGAGCTGATGAACAGGTTTCTCTGAAAGCCCAGGCCGTTCTCACAGTCGACATGTCTGATGCAGAAGAACAATGGGACAGTGTGATCACTGCGTTTTATAAGCAGAACATGAACTGGGGATCTCCATTTAAGTGCAGGCTGAGAAAACATTCTAATCGTTTTTCTGGTGATGACCTGAATTGAATTGTTGCTGTTTCAACGGTTGATTTCATGTTCTTTAACACCTATATATTTATTACACTCCGTAGTTAGCGCAGTAGCCATGCTTTATGCTGCTTTACCCTTTTGATTGTTCTGTTCAGGCATTTCTTCCCTCTGCCCCAATGGGGATGCTGCAGTGGCTGAAGACATGCTATGTCCATGGCCATGCAGAAAACTGGCTTCATTTTCAATTTAGGTTTGTCTTTATGACTGACTGAGTGTGCCATCCGGGTTTACATGTGAAAACTTTTTTAATTGCATTTGGCTTTTCAATTTCCTAAACTGAAGGGACAGAACTTTGAGTATTTTGCCACTTTTCCACTGGCTCTCCTGGACCCGGTTCCGCTGCCGTTTTTTCCAGCCAGGTTCTTGATTTTTCGGTCCCTGCTCTGAGAAGGGTCTGTAAGTGCCGAATTGGGGGTTGCAAGCTTTGCACCTCTTCACTGATTGGTCATGGGCGTGGTCAGATCCAAGCATAAAGAGAAGAAAAACGGCCTTTTCTCAAACTCGTAGCAAGAAGAGAGAGAGTAGCAATGGAGTCGTCCCAACCTACGTGTAATCCGTGCAGCAATGAGGTGCAGACTTTTCTGTCAATTACTGAGGACTGCAATATTCAACACCAGCTAGATGAAGCGACTGGAAACGAAAATGTTTTTGTTGAGGTAGCGGAAAGGATGACCGGCGCTGGATATCACAGAACGTCCCAACAGTGCTGGGAAAAGGTGGAAAAGCTAAAAACCGACTACAAAAATATGAAAGACGACAACGGGCAGAGGGGGTCCAACCAAAACTGGAGGCAGCGGTTCGACCTAATGGACGATATTCATGGCCATCGCCCTGCAAGTTGTGGAGAGGATGAAAGCGTGGACAGCGACACCTCGCTGCTGGAGGACATCTGCAACGGTAAGGTTTTATTCAACTCTGCATCCATATAAAGGTTGAGTAGTAACTAGTTGCATTTTCCCAATTACATGTACTTTAGTAGCTTGTTTGAAAACAATTAATAACGTTTAGGAGTATTTTTACTACCATGTACTGTTTACTTTTACGAGAGTATTTTTATTATGAAGTGTCTCTACTCTTACTTGAGTAAAATTTCTGGATTTTCTACCCACTGAATGAAAAACAAATGTTAAAGTTTCATCAGTTTTTTACTGAAAGAATCTGATTTGGAAATATTTTTTAGCCTGATTTTGTTATTTTTTGTTATGTATTACTGCATTTTGGTCCTTAGAATACCAAAATGTCCACTTAACTCGGTCCATCTGATGTTGTCATTTTTAAATATCAAATGACTGATCATTTCATCAGTTACTCAGTACTTGAGTAGACTTTTTACCAAATACCTTTTTACTCTAACTTGAGTAATTTCTTGTATTTTAACTCATATAATTTCAGTAACTGTAAACTGAAGTCAATCAAAGCTGGATTAACACGGTAAAATAACAGGTTGTTGAGCTTGAACTGACCTCTGCATCCTTAAATCGGAGTGAATTGTATTTAACTGGTTTGCTTTCTGCACAGGATCTCTCCCCTGTGGTGCAGAGACTGAAACCGATGCGGACGATTTCCCGTCATTTCTTTCGGATCCCAGTTCTTCCAGCACCTCTACTTCCTCAGATGCTCCTCCCAGCGCTGGCTGGACACCGCTGCCGTCCAGCCAGCGCCGCCGCTCCAGCCAGCGCTGCCGCTCCGGTGAGCACGGTTCATCTGTCTGCTTTGATGGAAGACATTATTAGACATCCTTATCACCACAAACCATTGGTTTTGCATTTCATTATCCTGTGGGTAATGTGATTTTAAAAACAGACAAAGACAGATATCAGCTCTTTAAACTGTTATGAGCTGTGGCTTCCGTTTGGAAAGTTGTGCTGTCAAAAAGTAACTGCATTTTTGATGTTATCTAAGAAAATAAAAACATATTCACCTTTCTATCCATTAATTTTAACTTTCAGTTTCAACCAAAGTAGCTTAGAAATCAACATTTCTAGCTCCATTCCACTGTCAATCACTGTTAGCATTTTATTATGTCTAGTAGTGATTAACTACTCATATTCAGATATATAGTTGTTTTTAAATCACTGTAACTGTGCTTTAATACTTATTAAATCTCTTTCCCCAGGGAAGAGACGAAGAAGTGGGGGCGTGTCAGACGTGAATGAGGAAGTGGAGAACCGGCAGCAGCGTGAGCGGCACCACAGCTCATGGATGGAAATCCTCCGGGAAGAAGCGGCCATCCGAAGAGAGGAAGCGGCCACTAATCGCCAGATGGTTGCCCTCCGTAGAGAGGAGCTGAGACAGGCGTCCCATTTCTACACGGCCTGCCTTGGCCTGCTGGGGGACATGGTTGCAATCCTAAGGGAGCGACAAGACGGACAGCATTCAACTGTAAATGTTGATAATGATGCCAAGGAAAATGCCGACATTTAAAAGTGAAGAATAAATGCTGTGCTTCAAATCTGTGCTTTAAGTCTGTTCTTCCACAATTTAAACTTTTCCTGGGGGATTGAAAGTACTCAAACCAAAATTGTTTGTATTGGACGTTTTTCTTTATATCAAACGACTTTAAAACCAGTGATATTCTCATTGACACTTCACATTAATTTCCACTGACTGCATCCAAATGTGAGCATTACTTAGCAAACCAAACCTTGAAATAACTCAGCTTAAAGTAATAAGAAGAGCTATTTAAAACAACCCAACATGCAAGTTAGATCACGGTAATGTATCCGCTGGTTTGGTTTTCCTCAATATGAGAGTCGAAAAGGGTGTCAAGCTTTCAACTGGATTCTGTTTTAACCTTTGTTCTGTGACGATTGAGAGCTTAGACCTGTAAGGTTAACTGTTGCAAAGTTAGCTTAACAAAAGCAAACCTGCAAACATGTCGTTTCTTGAACGACTGTATTTACATAGTTGGTAGGTCTTATTGCTCATTCCTGCAATGCCATTGGATGGTGAATGTGCAAATAGGTCAGGCCATCAACTCGTATAGCTTGCAGACTTTCCAGATACTGGTTGTTAATGGGTGTGGAGATAAGAGTGAATGCTCTTGAAGGTGAAGTGGGTGGGGTTGTAAATGTGGAGTTTTGTTCTGAACTTCCATGGAATGTATCAAATCATTAGCATCTATTTGTATTGAAATGATTTAGACTAGCATTCGCTAACCACCAGCAGTGGAGGAGCTCAAGAACATGATCACACATTTTCTGTCTGTCTGTGTGTGTGTGTGTGTGTGTGTGTGTGTGTGTAGGCTCCTCATGATAGAAACTTGGAGCATCACTGTACTCAAACATACACAGTTTATGATGCTACAGAGTAAGGCTGGGCCATATATCATTCACAACATATTGCAACAACTGGATATTATAATGCAGTAAATGCAGATGGTATTGTCGTTTAGTCTGGAAATCTGAAAGAAAATTTCACACCATAAATTGCATGCAAGTGAATTTAATTAAAAGTTTTCACCATTTGTGTTAGTGAAATATCAAGACGAAACAGGAGACGGAGATGGATCAGGTTGTCCTGTCTCTCCATCATGGGTTCTCTGATGTGCTTTCTAAGTTCCTGACTGACTGAAGCATCATCCGCATCGGTCACAGCTTTACGGCTTCTCTCTTGTGGATTCTCTGATGTGCTTTCAAATGCCCCAGCATTTTGAAACTTTTGCTGCAGCAGCCACAGACATGAAGCTGTGTGGGTAGTTTGATGACTCTTCAAATAGTTTGACAAAGCAAAACTCTTTCCATACTGCTCACGGGTACATGGCTTTTCTTCTGTGTGGACGTGTTGGTGACACTTTAAAGCTGCCAAACTCTCTCCACACAGGCTGCAGCCCGTGTGAATTCTCTGCTGACTTTTCAAATTTCCAGACTTTGCAAATCTCTTGCTACAATGGCTAGAGACATAAGATCTCTCTCCAGTGTGGATCAGCCGATGACACTTAAGAGACGACAGACGAATAAAGCTCATTCCACAAACGTCTCAGAGGAAAGGTTTCTCTCCAGTGTGGATACGTAGATGTTTCAGAATCCATGTGGCAGAAGAACTCCTGTCACACTGATCACAGCAGTGAGGTTTCCTCAGCTTGGAGCTGTTTCCCTCTTCTCCTTCCTCTTCCCGTCTGTCCAGACTCCTGCAGCTTTTGCTCTGTGAAACAAAAACAAGCATTTAATCTAGAGAGCCTAAATACGTCTGTAGAAAACTGCAACATGCTGAGGTGACTTACATCTTCCACTGACATGTTGTTGTCTATCAGTGTTTTTTCTTACAAGTTTCTAATCACAAACTTGTATGTGCTTTTCTTCACCAATGTTGCTAGTTTCCAGGTTCTGCTCTAGCTGCTCAACGTAAGCTGTCCTCGGCTCAACCTCTGGTCTGAAACCATCTGTTTTGCCAACCTGAGGTTGGCAAAATAACAAAACTCACACATTACACTATTCACATTTCTACCCTTCACTTAGGCTGCCTTCACACTGCAGCCTGAAGTGACCCAATTCCGATTTTTTTGCTGGGGCCGTTCACACTGCCAGTAAATGCGACCTGTATGCGTTCTGCGGTGTGAACGGACAAACGACCTGAAAGTGTCCCGCAGTAGAGGGCGCAATAGCGTCAGTGTTCTCAGTGTTCTGCCAACTGCCATAAAAAGAAGAAGTGCTCAGTGTTTGCGGGAGTGAACATGGTTGCTAACGGTGGAGCTTAGCTTACATATTTGAAGTTGTTGTCTGGCCGGAGGAGCATATTAAAAACTTAATCCTCATATAGTCCGTCATGGTTGTTTATCTTCCCGCTTGTGCATATCAGGGAACAGAATAGTGACATTTGTTGAGCATCAGTGACGTTCAGTTCGGATGAATGCGACCTGAACGTTAGGTCGCATTTGAATCGGATACGTATTGGATATGGGTCACATTCGAAAAAGAATCCGACCTGTGCTGCTCAATCAGAGACAGGTCGCATTACGTCAAAAAAAATAAATAAATCGGAATTGGGTCACTTCAGGCTGCAGTGTGAACGCAGCCTTAGATGAAGCCAACCACTTTATGTGTATCAAACAGGATAAATCAACTGTTTTAAAGCTTTACTGCATTTAGCTGTACATTAACTGGCATAAGCATTAAAGTGTACACTGATTTTAACTGAATACCGATCAAAAATAGAATTACAAGACAAAACAAATACAGAATTTAGCTTAGCATTGTTTCAAATTAACCTCAATTCTCACATTTTATGAATCAACAAGTCAATTTGAACTGAATATTATTCAAATAAAAGCAAAAATAAAACTCCTGAAACATGGATACAGTTAATATATCACGGCCTACTAATCACCTCCTCTCGCGGGACTTTCCCAGCGCGAGCTGGCGTTTTGCCAACGTTACCCTTAAGTTATAATGAACATAAAGAAATTTATGTTTGGTTTATTATTTCTTTGATAAAAACGGCGCTTTTATGCAACAAAACCTAAACTGCTAGAAAGACTTATGTTGTATAGATAAAGCTGATATCAGTAATTATCAGCTTTCTATAGTTATTGAAGACTAGATCTCCATGCAATTAATGGAGCCAACATCCCATGCCGTTTGGGGGCATGAGATACAGCACCCACTAGTGCTATATCATTTTTGACATACAAATTTCTGAGGTCCTTTACCTCTAACAAAGTTAGTTCTTTGAATAAAACCCTCTGTGTGAAATCTTAGACTTGTCTTTACCCTATGATTGAGGGTAGAAGATAAGTATAAATATTACAGGTGGCCTGTGGCTACAGGGATTTATAAAAACGTACGATACAAAACAACTTGATGTGTTAAAAAGTTTAGATGAAAACTTATGGTGAAAATATGTGGATCAAATTTAATACTGCACCCATTCTCATATGGGGGTCAATGTATCAGTTGTTAGTGGAAATCCTGATTTAATTTTTGTACTTGATGTAAAAATAAGAAAAATACATTTCTGACTTGGTTTGGTTCCTGACTCTTCCATCTTTCCGGTTTCCTCAAACCCAGAGCATGTCGAAGCTTTTTCAGTAATGGCTTCTTTACCGGCAGAGCAGCCTTTGCTTTGTCATTCTCCTGATCCTTCTGTTTTAGCTCCTCAGAGAGCTTATGATTGCGTGTCAGTTAGTGTTCAATTTCAGCTGTTGATGCATCCAGCTCTTTATATTTTACTTCATCTAAAAAGAGCTTGTGTTTCACTTCATCCAGTTCTTTCTGTAGCATGTTCTTCTCGGCGTGGAGGAATTTGGCTCTCTTACCATTCCGTATTTCAACCTCAGCATGACGATGTCTCTCATCCCTGTGCTCCTGCTCCATTGTTTGTATTTCTTCTTTAAGGGCTAAAATATCAACTTCATATTTCTGAACCATTTCCAGATTTGCGTCTTTGACTTGCTCAAGCTCTTTCTGTTGTTGACGAAGAGCCTCATTCTCAGCTTCTAGAGCCGCATAAAGTGTCTGGTTCATCTTCAACAGTTCAGCATGAGCTTCTTCGTTGTCACTTAGCTTTTTCTTTAACAACTCTGCTTGTTGTACATTAGTTTGATAGTTGGTGTTAAGTTCCTGGTATGACTCTTTCATCTTCTTAAGCTCTTCCTGGAGATGCCTCTCCTTCTCTGCAGACGTCTTTCTCAGCAGTGCCATGGCCTTTTTCAGTTCTGTACACTGTGCTGTGTTTTCACCTTTTTCAATCTTAGAAAACTTCTTGTTTGTATTTGTTTGAGAGTTAGCTGTCATCTCTATTTCCAGCTCTTCCTGCAACGTTGCCACCTGTTCTGACAGATTGATAATATCATTTTGAAGCTTAGCAAGAACTTCTTGATATACGGCCGTACTTTCCTGCATCTCTCTCTGTAAAATTGCCTCTTTTTCTTGAGATGATCTTAACTGATGTTGGAGGGCTTTATTTTCCATGAGGAGCTCAGAGGACAGGATGTCCTCTCTGGGATTCAATCCTTTTTTTTTTTTTTTGCCTCACTGCATACCCCAACGTCATTGTCATTAAACTCGCTTTTTTCTAGCTTGAGTTTTGCGTCATGTTGTTCTTTTTCCAAGTCATTTGCTCCTTGGTGTTCCTCGTTAAATCTGGCTCTTTCTGCATCCACCAGAGTCTTTAGCTGTTAATTTCTTCCTCAAAAGAATTACCGCTTTGGGTATCTCTGCCTTGAATCAAAAGTTTTTGTAAGCTAAGTTTAATGTTGCCTATGGTTAGTGTTACTGTCCACATAGATGACCCATGTGCAGCAAAACAGCCCCACAATATGATGCTGCCACCACCGTACTCTGGTTTTGAATACATAAACATCTTTAGGAGTTACAGAAGAAAAAGTGTCACTTGAACCTAACCAGCTGCAAGATTACGCAAGTTAAAGGTGCTTAAGACAAATGGAGAAAATATTTTCTGATGTTAATACTTCACTCTTTCTCTCATACCATCATTTCTCCACTTGGTGGTAGAAATGTCATAAATATTTGATCCCTAAGATGTAAGATTCCTACACAGTTCAAAGCATTTATTCCAGTTGCCCTGGATTCATAGGATAAATTAGGTTCCGGGTTCCTTCTAGGAGAATTTGATTTTATTATAGAAACTAGACTGCTATTTAGAGTAAAAGGATTCTTCCCCTGCTTTAACAGGTATCAATTTGGAGGGCATCTGTGAGCACTAATTTCCATCAAATGTAGGCCAAAAGGTTTAATTATTACCTTGTTTAATATTTTTCCTCATTCTCTCCCAACTCAGTTCCTTCAGACTAGCCAGCAGCAATAAGCTGATGGTGAAACTGCACATTTGCTGAGCTCATTATAGGAGCCACTTCTCAGAGCAACGCTGGTAAAAATGTTAAATGGTTAATAGAGGAGCCATGTTGTGATGACTTCCTGAAGGTGGAGTTTCAGAAAGAGGAGGAATTTTTAAAGAGACAGAAACCCAAACATGTGAAATTACAAAATCAAATTTCTTTTAAGTCATATTTGATTTATATAGCATTTTTATAACTAAAATGATCATTGTTACTTGACTGTGCTATAAAATAGAACTATGTGCCTGGAAAAGACAAAATGCTGCCCTTTTAAATAAAATCATATTCATTTTTAGTAAGATTTAAACCAATTTTGTTGATCAAATACATTTATTTAGTACTGCTATTAAACCTGCTATTAAACCTTTAATTAAAATCAACCATAATTTAATGTATGTTTAATTTTCTTAAACTCCAGTTATTAAAATAGCAGCTGCATATCTACATAAAGTTCACTTCTGTGTACAAGAACAACTGTGATATAAGCCACACTAAAGGATTTGTAAATTGACACATAACAAAAGCTGTCACAGACGACTGCTAATTAGCAGACGGACTTTCAAAATAAGAGAGAGGCGTTTCGCCAAACAGCTCACTCAACACTGAACGCGCCTTAAAATGAAACGCCGTCCCTGCTTCCTCAATTTCCCACAACAACAACGCCACTCCGTCTCTCTTGTCGTGAGAAAACCTCAGCACTCCCACGGGTGTTCCTCTTATTTTGAAAAGCCAGAGAATCACAGGTGTCACGGCCATGGTGACTCATGTCTATGATGGTCACCATGGACATGAACACGTAGCGGGTCAGTCCGTTGCTGCGATACGTCACAGAATATGTGCCAGTAAGCTAATACAAATCAAAGGATGGTCACCTGATGGTCACGGCCATAGACATAATATAAGAAAAATACATATCCTTATATTATGTCCATGGTCACGGCCATCACGGCTGTCGCGTTTGAGGCAAACCGGAACTTCGTCCCAAATCCAACCAGAAAGCAACGCCCCCCAAACAAAGGTTCCGCTTTGCCACTACTACTACTCCCATCCCAACCTCAGGAAAGCACTATAAATGTAGGCAGATTAACATGCCGAGCTGCACACAAAATATTATTTTTTAATTTTTTTGGAGAAATAAAATAAATTATACATGAAAATATTTCAAAATTATAAAACGACCAGAATAACGTGGTGGGATTTTTAGGTGCACAGCAGCACCACCTTCTGGATGGTCACATTTTGGCAGTGTTTATTTTGATCTGTTTATTGTTTGTATTTTATTTTACCTTTTAATCATTGTGAATTTTTGGTTAACATCATGTTTGTACATGTTTAAAACATGGAGTAATTGTGCCTTTTGCTAAATATAACTGAAGAAATCCCATCTAATTTGCTGGTTTCTACGGCATCTTCCAGCCTCTCTCACCTCAGTCTTGTGAACAAGTAACAGAATGTAATTTACTGCAAACGTCTACTTTAATTAGTCAGTTATATTATTGTTACGTGAATTTATCATATATGAACGTTGTTTTATTAAAAGAAAACATATTGAAAGAAAGTAAGAAATATTAACCTGAGTTTTTTCACAGGATCCAACACTACGTTGAGAAGATGAGGATTTGTTTTCTCTTCTGTATTTTCTGCCTGATGGTTCCCATGGGCCACAGTGAGCTGATGGGTCCCCCTGATGGTAAAGGTGACAAAGTAGTTGAAACTACTTTGTGTACCTTAATTTTTTACATATATTTATAAAACATGAAGGCATTTAATACAAAATGGGATTGCAATAAAAATAGACAAATTGCCATGAAGTCCACTTTGATTTCTTTTTATGCAATCGATGAAATAACCATTTGAAAGCCGCATTTTGGGATCTATTCTGGGTTTGCAGGTTCCGCGTCATTTGCTGAATGTTTTCCCCGCTGCATCTTGTATTTAACCAAATTAGGAAATCAACAAAAATTTCCTAATATAGAGCATGACATCACCCACCCTCCACCACCAAAAAAGGTGAAAATAGTATAAAACATCCCATAGAATGAAATCATCTTGTTTTACGGTTCCTTCCTTCTTTATACGAGCTCAAACTTGATCTTAGTCATTACTCTTTGGCAGGACTAGGTGGCAGCATATCAAATACAGTAAGTTCTTTTATTCTGATTTCTATGTTTGTTTACTACGGTTTTATTATTCATTATTTTTCCAATGATAAATAATCATTGAAAAATCAATATACAGCAGAGAAACTGTTGTATATTGTTGCTAAGACATAAAGCAGCTTCAGAGTTTTAAACTAGAGTACATGTGGGCTTTCGCAACCAGGTCCATTAGCACGTGGCTCGCTTTATTCTCGATAATGTCAAATGAGATTTGGGTTTTTAGTTTTAAGGAAATAAAACAGGAACATGAGACGTACACACCGATGCACGTTTGAAGTCTGAGCAGTGTTTTATCTATATTTCAGTTCTACAAATCCAACAAGATGAGGCTTCCCGTCTTATTTGGAATCGTTTTGTTGATGACAGACATCGGCCATTGTCAGTATCCATGTGTTCACCCTCCGTATTGCAGCAGAGGACCGATGGGACCTCCAGGTGAGTGACAAAACTTTCCTTGTAAAGACCACGTCTGTAAAATATGTCAGAAAATACAGAACGGTAGATAAAACTAATGTCAGATTGACAAGAAGGCATTAAACTTACTTTAGGAAGAAAAAAAAGGAAGAGAAACCACATCTTCCATGTTATTGGGAGGTTCTTTACACAGAATGATGAGTCAGAAAATCCTTCAGTAAAGTTTGACGCAATTTACTAGAATGACCATCAGTTTTTGAACTTCACACTCATCTATAAATAAGACTTAAGTAGAAACGATGTAACGATTTGAAAACTTGCCTAAAACCAATGGTTCTCTGTGCAGCGCCACTACAGGTGAGTCCTATATGTGACTCCTTAAGCCTTAAAATCTCAGTTAAAATTCAATCTTTTCTCTAAAATGTCAGTCTTTTAAAACAACTTCAATACAAAGAGCTTATTATATAAAAATATGAAAAATAGTTAAACTTGAAATGCACATTTAACCTTTTAAAGGCCATTGAATTCACATGTTGCATTTCAACAGCTAAGTAAATATCCTACAGCGGCATTACTATATCCATGTTTTTTGTTCGAATTGTCCTTTGAACAGATATTTTCTCAAAGAAGCAAAGAAATAAAAAAATACCAGTTTAGAAAGAATATTGGGAGCAGTGCATCTGAAGCACTTTGTAGACTTATAAAGTGTTCATTCATTTACACTTTTCTTGTTTCTTGTTCAGTTTTTTCTCCTCTTTCTTCCCTATTCAGGATTTCCAGGACTTCCTGGATTAACTGGAATGCAAGGACCTCCTGGACCAAGAGGAGAACAAGGTCTGGTGACATCTATCCGTTTTCGACCAATGAATGGATAACTGTTGTAGTTCTGTGTGTTTCAGGCAACCCACATTTTATTTTTTAATTTTATTGTTTAGTTTTTTTTTCTCCCCTCTTTTCACTCATGTCTACCGGGACTTCCTGGACCAATAGGACCACCTGGAGAAAGAGGACTAGCTGGTTTAATGGGACCACAAGGACCGGCAGGAAAAACAGGACCACCTGGAGAATCTCTCCCAGGTACGTTTTGTTTTTCTGGTGATATCTATAAAGTTTTAAGCGGTGAATGCCTTGCTGTTGTAATCCTGTGTTCTTCAGATAACCCAAGTTTTACTCTGTCATGTCCTTTTTTCCCCCTGCTTTTTGCTTCGTTGTTGTTGCTTTTGGCCCAGGACCGGCAGGACCACGAGGCCTACCGGGGGTACCTGGACTAAGAGGTCCAATAGGGCTACCAGGAACAACTGGACCGGCAGGACCGAGAGGAATGACAGGACGGGACGGGCCAGCAGGACCAGCAGGACCACCAGGAGCACCTGGACTGTCTGAAATAGGTATGAAAAGGGTCAAGGCTGTTCCTCGTATTGTCATAAACCATAAGTTACTTGAACTTGGGTTTGAAACAGTGGTCCAAAATGTCCAAATACCATTTGGTAGAGTAAGGCAGCTGTCTTTATGTCATTACCTGAGACAAAATCACATTTAGTTTAATTTCCCTTTGGGATCGATAAAGTTCTTTTGAATTTGATTTAAAGTCTGTAAATATTGAATGGCTGGAGAAGCTGACCAATATTTCCCCTTAATGTTTGTTGGCAATAATGATGTAGTTGTTTTATTTTTCTTTTGTTTTATTTGTGCGGTCCATTCCAAGGACCACCGGGACCGGCAGGACCAGCTGGACCACCTGGGAAAACAGGCCCGGCTGGACCACAAGGGCCACCCGGAGAGCCAGGTTTAACATATTTTGTGCTGTTTTGCAGTCTGCTTTGAATTGTTTGTGCTTGGAACGCCTTCCACAAAAACCATAAAATGCACCTTTAAGCCTCAGACTGTCAGATTTATAATTACTATTAACAGAAAAATCGTCTTCTCAACTGCTTTATTAACTTTTGAGAGATATAAAAATAAAAAAACACTGTAATCTGTTTTGATCTAGGTGTTAGCTGCAGTTGTCCTGACATCAAGGCCATACAGCAGCAACTGACCAAGTTAGAGCTGGGTAAGTCTCAGTATTAAGATCTACTGTAATGCATTGTGGAGCAGAGTAGATTTCATTAGTACTCATTAAACCAAATCAAGTCATGCGTTAAGCTATTTAACTCAACAATAAAAAGGGCTATAGTCTTAAAATGTTTAATCAGAGGATGAGCAGCCTATTTAAATTTAGGTGTTTTCAGTAAAACACCTAATATGTTTTTGCCTCTTGCTCCTGTTTATTTTTTCATCTATTGGCATTTTGATGTTAAAACTATTTTTAAAAAAATGTGTTTCTTTCCTTTAGCTATAACTTACAGCTTTGTCCGAAAGGTCGGTGAGAAATACTTTGTGTCCGACAAGGAGAGACAGCGTTTCGAGAAGGCAGTGGAGTTCTGCTCCCAGCGAGGGTTGGAGTTGGCTTTACCTCAGAGCGAAGAGGAAAACAGTGCTCTGACTGAAGTGTTCGGCGACGCATACAAAACCGTCTGGATCAACGTCAACAAGGAAAAAGCACGGGGAAATTTCACTCTTGATGCGAATAATCGACCTCTGACCTTTACCAAATGGGGAGCCGGGCAGCCAGATTCGTCCGTCCAGGATGTAGGCTGCACCATGGTGTCAGAGAACGGCTTCTGGGAAGTGACAAAGAAATGCTTCCTGTATGCTTACGTTGTCTGTCAGATCTAAACAAGTCTGTTTAACTGTATACTGTTGTAGGTTCTGTCTTTTCCTCTGTCTCTTTTAAGTGCTGACACGCACATGCTGCAGCTTACATAACCATGTCTGTGTCTGCCGGCAGTCATACATAAACAGACTGAAACTATTTTAGACTATCCGTTAGGGAGGGTACAGATTGCAGAGAAAAATAAAAAGCTAAACTTGTGCTTCAGTCTTTGCCCCACTTTGTTCTATCCATAAGGTGAGCTAAGTGTGACCCAGCGCTGGACGGTGAATATCACTCTGTATCTGTTCCTTTTTTGTATGACATGTGTGGCTTGTAACATGATCATTTTTCGGAATTAAAGCCTGCTGTCATATATAACCAAATCTCATTATTTCTCAAGGTAATTTACCCTCAGGGGTTCTGGTCGGGTCCTGAAACTGGTTAACGGACCTTAACCAGAGACAGAACGGACCGGAGCTCAGAGACAGAAATGAATGAACTCCAACAATATTTCACTCTGGGTTTTAACAATCAAATATGTCATGGAAATATTGTTTTTGTTTAGTTTTGCTTGTTCTGTGGATGTTACAGAATCAGGAAGAGTCGAGCAAACTTGCTTTATTTTACATATTGTCTAATAGAAATTGACTAAGTTGACTAATGTCATGAAATAAAGACTGCACAGTTGGTCGATATTAATGTTTGTTATTATTTTTATTATTATTACATTGTAGACATACACACACATCCACGCTGCACTTCTGTATAATTTAATGATTGGCCCTCCTAAATGCGACGTCAAATAACCGTTTGCCCACGTTGTCAAGCGTGGGTGAGCAGCGTGAAACCTGACAAATCCGGAGTGAATGTCTGTGGAATATCGTGTAAGCTAACTTTATGCTTTGAGCATTTCCACACAGCCTGTAAGGGTATTATTTCATAATCCACTTATCAGGTGGATACTGTATATTATACACATTTCGGCCATTCAAGGCGGAAGCAGAGTGGCGCAGCGGAAGCGTGCTGGGCCCATAACCCAGAGGTCGATGGATCGAAACCATCCTCTGCTAGAATTTTTTTTTTTTATATTATTTTATTTAATTTTTTTTATTTTGATATTTGACATATTTTCTTTCCTCTAAAAGAAAGCAAATAACCGGTGGCAGAATATATAGGTTGAATTTTAGCTATGCAACCAGCTGACACAGATCGATAAATTGCCACCAACTAACATACCCTCCGACAGAGCCTGGAAATGAATCATTGAAATGTTTAATTATTACTTTACTGCTTGAAAAAAATCAGTCACAAAAGCAGAAGTGAAATAACGTTCCGAAGGAAGAGTTAATCTGGATAACGTTACAATGACAGAAAGAGAAACGGGAGCATGGCTCCCTCTGCTGGCCGACCCAGTCCTGTTGACTTCACAGAGGGCGGGGATACTTTAACATATTGAAAGGGCCCTGAATGACAGGCCTTTAAAGGCCCCCTTTTTTCTTTATAAACAACAATCTTCTCTTTGACATGGAAACAGGGTTGTGCAGTAACAAGTTTAGCTTAGCTCTGAAACAAACAGAGCTAACCTGAACATTTAAACAATTTTTTATACTTACTCTCCTTGTGTCCATTCGTAGCACAATCACATTTTACTTCTTCCTCTTAATTCCAGTTGACTAGTACACCAGGAGCCGGCGAGGGTTGAAACCCATTTTTAAAGTAGCAGTATTTTTTTAGTCTGGACAAAAAAAATTGTTCATTTGTAAAAGCATCCTAATGTCAAACGAGACCAAATGCAAATAGCCAGATTTCTTATTTATGATTAATCAGGCTTAAGAAAAACAAAAAACATCATACGTTTTCACTGGTTGCTAATTGTTTGAGTCTTTTCGTCATTTTTGATCCTTTTGGATTTTTGTTTTCAGTTTCTGTTCCCATATTATAATTTTCCCCTCTTAGATTAACTTTTTGATCAAAATGTATTAAACAATCCATTTTATTCCAGATATTTAAGGAAAAACAACCTATAACCAGCTGGTACATTTGTTTATTTGTTTATCTGTACAGCACATTTCAGCAAGACGGCAGTTCAAAGTGCTTTACAACATAAAAACAAAATACAGTCACCAATTATGAAACAAGCAGTAAAGATCACATTTTATCAAATGCCATCATCAGAATCATGACTACACATCAAATATGTTGGTCAATGTTCCAGTCATTAAAGGCAACATGTGGGTTTTTAGCTCTGATGTAAAGAAACTCAGTATTTCAGCATTTTTTCAGTTTTCTGGAAGTTTGTTCCAGATTTGTGGTGCGTAGAAGCTGAATGCTGCTTCTCCACGTTTTGTTGGTTATCTATGCTCAATTATATTGCTCTTCCAAAAACAGTGAACAATCTGGTTAGTAATGCTGAACGTCTGTGGAGTTTAATTTTACTAACAAAACACGTGACCTTGTTCTCATTTGTTATCTTGAAACTCTTTAGGGAATATCAGCCTGTGACCTTTGACCTTTCAATTACGTATTTCAATTTTTCTTTCTTTTTCTGGCAAACATTTTTACCTTATAGAAAAAAGAATATGCACAAGCATAGCACATCTACAGACTTATTATGACCTGTTAGGAAAGTTTCTTGACCTCATCTATTTCCTTTAGCTAGACTGTTTTAGAAAAAGCATTCTCTGCATTCAGATCAGAGCAGTTCATCGCTCACATTATGATGAAAGAAGTGCTGAAATCAAATAACTGAAAGGGAAATTTCAAAACAAACACGTTGACTCTACAAGATGACCTTTGGCTAGATTTTGACAGCCACAAAATCAAGATTTTGACCCCTGCCCCTGCATCTAAACTCACTGTCACACCTTTTGAACTTCTGCTTCTGCTCATTAGACAGAGTTGAAAGCAGCAACAATCAAGGGAGATCAGAAGACATTCAATCCACATTAACAGTGTTTGACATGCAGCTAAATGCCAGCTTGTATGAATTAATATCAATCTCTTTCAGTCTAGATTGTAGGGTTACAAAAATGTGTTTTGTCAGGAAAAGAAAAAGAGAAGCTTTTTGTTTCAGTTTCAATTTGAAGCTTTAAATGGGATTCATTGAATTCCTATTGGTCATTTGGTTGTATTCAGGAGCCAATGCAAAGATTTGAAGGGAAACAAATTGATTCTCCTCAATGTTGTTCTATACTTTATTCTCTTTGTTTTAGTTTTCTAGTGTTCGGCTATTCACAAAACTGTGTTTTGTTTTTGGAGAATCCATCCATATGTATGGAGAAGCTGAACCTTTGTAACATTAGGAAAGCAGCACATTACTGACATGCCTGCGCCCCCTGCTGGTGATGTGGATTCATAACATCCCAAATTCTCCATCCTTACAGTTGTTATTCGCTGTTTCTCACCGTTTGATATGAAATCAAACTAAAACTTTTTTCCCCCTCAGATCAATTAGGATTACAACTATTATTTCTATTTGCCAGTTGCCACAATAACTAGTTTTTTATTTTTATTTGACTGACTTGAAATTTAGAAGACTAGATAAAGTTCAATAAAATCCAGGTAACTGCCTGCAAATATGATCTTGGAAGAAAAGAGGGGAGACTAAACGTCTGAGACCATCCCAACCACGAGGCATCTGTTTAGAGTTGCTTTTGACCCGTAATCACTGGAGCGTTGGCCAACACCATTTAATGTGTATTGGCGATTTTGATAATTGGACTTCGGCGAAATGTAACGTCTGCTACTGGTTTCACAAATTGGTGACTGTGTGATTTTTTTTATGCCTTTTCATTTTTGTGTTTTTATGATTAAAAGCACTTGGTAGTGCCTTGTTGCTGAAATGTGCTATAGAAATAACCTAGATTGATTGATGTGCGGCTGTGTTGCGACACGAGGGACTGGTGCACTTCACAAGACAACATGAGTCAAGTATTGAAGCTGCGGTTCAAGACGTCAGCCAGGTCGCTACAGTTTGGACAGTGACAATCAGGATACCTTCAAATTAGCTACAAAGTGACAGCTAATTTGTAGCTAAACAACATTTGTAGCTAAACAACATTGGTTTAGCTAAAATGTTTACTCTAAAAGTAAACATTTTAGAGTCTTCATATTAAATCCCAATGAAGATATGTGGGTTTGTGTGAACAATGGAAATAAAAAAATGGCCTCAGTTACATCAGTTTCGTTTGGGGTAATGGTCCAAAATTTCAGCAATCTATTGTGAGAAGCTTGTTGAAGGATTCCCAAATCATCCAATTCAAGTCATACGAATTGAAGAAAGTCATAAAGAAATCAGGTTATTAAACAAACAGTAATAATTTGGGGAATCTGGGTATCTGGTTGGATCTGTTTTATTCCTTCTTTAAAGTTATTTTCAGCTTCAGCTTCATGCTTATGAACTATCTTGAGTCTGTTTTTTTTTTCTTACACCACCCTGTTCCAACACACAGCAGCTTGGAAAAAAGACCTTCAAGAAAACTGAAATTAGGGACCATCTAATGGAGGACTATGCGCTGCTCTCGTATAAAGTTTTGTTCTCTTTCGTCTTTCTGTCTCTATTTCAGTCTCCTTTAGGCCCGGCCACATAATGACAGACCTGCTGTGTATTAAAGGACCCTGCCCATGCGTCTTCTCCCAGCCACCTCCCTTTTCGCGGGCCTTTAAAAGCCTCCCAGACCGGGTGGTGGTGGGGGGGACCACTTCCAAACAGAGAGAGAGAGACTCGCCATCCACTAAGTCAACCGTTCGATCGCAACCAGAGGGCTTCAACATGGATAATCATTCCTACAACTTTCCATCCGACTGCACCCCACTCACAAACTGCAAGTCGGCCCGCAAGCCGGCGGGTTCCACCGTGGTGAACATGGGCAACTCGGGGAAGAACCCGCCCCGGGACTACCTGCTCTGGTCACTCTGCAACACCTTTTATGTCAACTTCTGCTGCTTGGGCTTCATGGCACTCATCTACTCCATCAAGGTGAGCTCAGGTCCTGTTTTCTTGAATTCACTAGAAATTTGAACCGTTTTGAGGAGGCGTTCAAATGAGACGAAGCTTAAAATGGCACCCAGAGTAAAAAAACAACAACAACCAATTCAACACCCAGAACTTGCACTGAGTGGCCCCTTCCTTTGACTTTTGATCTGAATTTTCTTTAACTAATGAGAAAAAACCCTGAAAATGTTCAGTGGTTGGAGCTGAGAGTGAAAGCAAAATCAAGAAGATAAGTCCTTGGAACAAGACAGTTTGGTAGTTGGTGACATTTGATGAGAACAATTCAACATTCCTTGTCCAATTTCTCGAAGTTGGCCGTATTAGACAGACAGTCGGATTCGTCAGTAGGCGTTATATTCCAAATGCCACGCTGGGAAATACAGCTGGATAAAAATAATCCAGACCAGCAGACCAGGATGTGGCCATCCTCTGTTTGCCAACCTCAAGAGCCATTTTGTTTGTGCAAATGTCGACTTGAGAGCTCTAACCATTGAAAATATCTATAAATATATTTAGATTCCCCGAGTTGTTGGATTTTGTATTCTTTTGAATCACACACATTGCAACAAAACACATTTAGCTGCAAAGCATCTAGAATGTCCTTGTCCAGAAACTTGGAATGCTTTACACCACAGGAATGGAGTCAGGCAGATGTTTTACCGACAAAAAGATACCTGAATTTAAAAAACAAGTTTCTGCTAAGCTTACCACAGAAGGGTGTGTAAACCAGTCACTTCACTCCTTTTTTCCCTCCTGTTTGCATAGTTTTGAACTCCAGGCTTGTGACTGGCTCAGCACGGAAATTAAAGGCAGTGTCTCACAAAGTGGGGAGTTAAAAATGGCATAATTGGCATCTTCTTAATGGGCAAGTACTGTCAAGAAATTAGAGAGTGCTGGTGGAAAGGTTCAGTAACACTGCACTCTGATGAGACCTAGAGGAGACACAAAGGTTACATGAGTCTTTGCTTATTTTTCTCCCCCATTTTGTCCAATTATAACTACGTACCATGTAATTAAGCAACTCAAAGTAGTGCATGATTGTCAACTGGAAGGACAAAGTCAAATTCAGACACTTTTCTTTACAAATAAAAATCCTAAAAATTCACTTTGGATGTTCATATCCAGCTCCCTTTACTCTGTCACCGCTAAATAAAATCTGCTCTGTGAAAGGGTCAGAGTTTGATAGAGGATGTTAGAGACACACAAAACTGATCAGGCATAGAGTTGTGAAGATGTTTTAAGCAGATATAAGTGGTAAAATAGTATCCCAATCTCTGGAGGAGCTGCGGAGATCCGCAGCTCAGGTGGAAGAATTTAAAAACAAGGCAGCTACTGGTTGGGCCATCCATAAATCCAGCTATTATGGAGAAAAACAGTTGTAGAAACAAAAATAAGAGTATGAAGAACAGTAAAATTACCAAAACATGGCTGTTTCCTGAAACTGACAGGCGGTAATCAGAGAAGTAGCCCTGCTTAGTTTTCTTTACTTGAATTCTAGTTTCTTAGCCAGAAGGTCCGGTTTGTTTGGGGAGATGTGAATGCGCAATCGAACTCTGATGCTGACCAAAACAAGCTAACTCTGGCCCACCTAAAAACCCAGGTTTTGGTTCAGCTGAAGTAAAATTAAAGTGATATGTGAACGCCAAGCAGGCAAGAGACCGCTCCAAAAGCAGGAAACTGGCTATAACAAGGGCATTCTGGGTAAATACAACAGAAACAAATGCTTCAGTCTAGCGCTAGCAGGAGAAATTATTCAAGGTCTTTTGCCAAAGACAAAAAAGAAATCCTACAATCTCCAAAATCCGATGCTACCCTATTTTTGTTTACAATTTGTGAAGGAGGGTGCGTTCAGTGCCTTCTTCTGAGGTTTTTGTGTCACTTTATTCAGTAGTTCTCGGTGCAGCGCCACCAGAGGTGAGAAGGTAAACAGGTTTTTCAAGTTTTTTTTCTTTCTCTCTTTTTACACACTGCAACATGAAAATGAATCGCTACGGCTGAAAATGTGAAAATGTTGCAATTTTGGTCCCCAGTCAAACCGAGTCTGCCAGACTATCAGGTGTAAAAACACCCTTAAGGATCGTGGTGTCTCTTGGGAAGGTGCAGAGATCCAACGCTCAGGTGGCAGAAACTGCCAGGTCCTCCACAGATCTGGCCTTTATAGAATGAATCACACGAAAGTTAAAAATAATGAAAGAAGTCACGTGGCATTTAGTAGACACGGCAAATATGTGGAAGAAGATTCTCAGGTCAGTTAGAATCAAGATTAAACCTTTTGGGGCAAAAAGTGAACACAGCACAAGACCCTGAACGCATCATCTTCACCTTGAGACGTGGTGGCGGACGCAGCTTGCTGATGCTTTTTCTTCAGCACAGACTGAGAAGGTGGGAAGATGGATGAAGATCAACACGTGACAATCCTGAAAGAAAACATTTAAGCGGCTACAAAAGAGTGGAGAGTGGGGCGGAGGTTCACCTTCCCACAGGACAGCCACATAAACATACAGAAAGGCCTGTAATGAAATAGTTTAGATCAGAGTAAATTCAGCCCAAAGTCCGACCTGGAGTCCAAGCCAAAGTCTGTCTACAAGGTCCATGGAGGCTGTATGTCACCGTTTTCAGATCTTTAGTTGAAAAACACATTCTGTTCCACTTCACAGAAATGCGTTAGTTTGTGTTGGTCCATCATATAAAACCTCAACATATCCCAAAGATGTTTGTGGTTGTGTTGTGGCAAAGTGTGAATAAATATATACATGTTGAGGAGTATTTGCGAGGCACTAAATCTGATATGCTTGTGTTTGTTCAGGCCCGGGACCAGAAGACTCTGGGGAACCTGCAGCTGGCTCAGGAGTGCTCAGACAAGGCCAAATGGTACAACATCCTGGCCGCCGGCTGGAACCTGCTGATCCCTCTGCTGGCCGTCGTCCTGATCGTCCTCCTGCTCGTCCACCTCGGCTCCTCTCAGGGTTCCTTTGATTTCCTGGGAGAGGACGGTTTCCAAAACTTCCTCAAGCTGTTCAGCTGGTAGATGAAGGAGGAAAAAAAACAAAATCTCCGATTGGATTCAGAAGGCGATGGCAGACGTTAGAATTAGTCGACGTCTAAATGTTTGTTTTCAACTTGTCCTATGCAGATGTGTTAAAACTTCTGCTCGCCATCTGAATTAATTGTAACACTAACTTATTTTAGCAGTATTAGCGTCTCTCTGCCAAAAATTTGATAAATATAAAAACATCAAGGCGGATTAACCTGTCTGTCACGAGAGGACCTAAATTTGGGTCCTCTAGTGACAGGGGTGTCAAACTCCAGTCCTCAAGGGCCTCTGTCCTGCAACTTTTAGATGTGCCTCTGCTGCACCACACCTGAAAAGAATAATTAGGTCATTAGCAAGGCTCAGGAGAACCGATCTACACAGGGAGGAGGTAATTAAGCCATTTCATTCCACTGTTTTTTACCTGTGGCACATCTAAACACTGCAGGACAGCGGCCCTTGAGGACTGGAGTTTGACACCCCTGTCATTGTGAATGACAACCTGAGACCAACAGGTTAAAGCAGTATTTTTGAAACTGTGCCATGAATGTGACTTACATCTGAGCTGTTGCTAGTACAAAAAGGAAAGAAAAGCAAAAACTTTAGAGCATGCTGATGTTTTATGTGGTGAGCCAAAGGCTGAAATGGCCTGAAAGATGAAATGAAGGAATGAGAGAAAAACATTACAGGGACAGTTTGCATTTTTTGAAGTAAAGCAATTTAAAATTATTATAAGTACGTGTAGTAAAAGATGTGATATTACAGCGAGTTTGATGAAGCTAGCTGTTAGCAGTTGTATGCTAAAAGCTAGTCACAAAACAGCATTTTAGCTAGTTTCAGCAGCTTAGCATCCCGTCCACACGAAACAGTTTTTTTTTGCTAAAAGGGAAAAGTTTTAAACAATTTTTCCTCTATGTCTACATGGAGACGGCGTTTTGGGCGCCCGAAATGTTTTTCTTTTTAAACAGGTTCCAGAGTAAAACATTCACTCTCGTGTATTTGGACAACGAAAATATATTTTTTGTGAAATCTCCGACATGTTAGCCTACAATCTAGCCTGACCTATAACCTCAAACATATCAAATGCGACAATGGAAGATTACATATTCCACAAAAGACTTCACTTGTGTTCGTATTGTTGTGGCAGCTTTACGCACACGTCCCACAGTGCTTGTTTAGCGCCACCCACAGGTCGAGAGGAGTCAAAAATGAGGCTATTCTCTCTCTCTGGGTTTTCTTGCAGAGGGAAACATTTCTGAAAACGTTCCTGTGTGAACCCAAGTGTTTTCGATAACAACCTGTTTCAGAAGAAAATTGTTCCTGTGTGGTCGAGATCTAAAACAACTCTAACTGAAAATGTGCCTGGCTGTGGTACGTGGTGATGTGTCAGAGGATATTGTCTACATTTCATAGGTTTGTCAGTGTCTTCTCAGTTAGACAATGTCCATGTATCTACGCTAAAACTACTTCAGCTTATGCCACTGCACAAAACCTAAAGAAATCCTAAGGTTTTTTAAAGGCTACGTCATGGCCAGTCACTAAATCCAGCTTCTCTGCTTTATTTTTGGTATTTATTGTATTTATGTGAAGTACAATTTGATCGGTTGTTGGAACCATCGTTGGTCAGGATAGATTGAGATTGAGAACTGAAATAACAAACAAACGTGGAGCCAAAGTTTTACAACGGACAGTGAATTCATTTTCGCCTTCTAGCATCTCTCACATTACTTTATACTTCTCTTTTCATCATTTTAAAAGTTTTTTTTTGTTGTTTGGTGCTTTGAAGATTTTTCTGTTGTATCTCCTTATTGTTTTCAATCTATGAAATAAATAAATCAGACTGTATGTTAGCACAGTACATCACAGAAAGACCGAAAAGAGATTTATTTATCTTTCCATGTCAAGATCTCCATGCAGCCGAGTCGTTTTCTGTCCCCGCCCAGCCGACGGGAACAGGTGCCGAGAGGTGTTCCTTCGGCTGGCTCCTGCGGTTCCCGCCGCTGCGCCCACACCCAGCTTTAAAGCGATCATTTTGGGTTTCCATGGCCCGACTCCGGGGTGGGTCTGCTCCCAGCTGTGTGTTTGGCCCACTAGCATTTTTACATGTACACACAAAACGTCCAGTTCTGGGAACCGTGTCGAACGTGCCCTTCGGATGAGAGGCGGAGCCGCCCAGGAAGACCGCTACAGAGGGCCGAATGCAGGAGGCCCGCAGCGGAACGGGACGCCGTCCAAGTCTGCTGGTTCTGCTCTGAGTTGAACGAACGACCGCTCAGACCGAACGTGAGACATTTCAGAAGAGACAGCCGTGGCTCTAGTTGTCTCTTCCTGACTGGTCAGAGTCGCTGGACTCGCTTAAGCTAAAGTTTCAGCCCCGCAGTTTACTGCTACATCCATAAAACAAAGAAAAGCAAATAAAGTCCAAAATTGCAGGTTTCCAATTCAATGACGAAGGTTTGAGGTCAAGTTCATAGAAATCAAGAAATTCCACTTTGACTAATAATATGTATTTGTTCATTTGTCTCTTTAATCCTGCTTATGTGGTGCAACACATTTAACATGTAACATCCATTTCTTCCTGAAACACACCCACTCAGCTGATCTGCAGTCCAGTCGCCACCCCCACGCTAAATCTCCAAGATTCCCCAGGTTTTCCTTGTGCCACTCATGTGATTTCACGTTGCGCTCCTTCTGACGCCCTTCACATTTGTAGCTTCTCTTTTATTTATATCTGCCCAAATCACAGCCCAGGGCTTCTAGCTTTCTATTTTCCTCCTGTGGTCTGAGGCAAATGCTTACAGATGTCTGAGGGGAAATTACAGGATAGAATTGGGTCCTACAGTAAGAGGAGGAGGAGCGTACTTCCTCCTGCTCTTTTCAGGAGCTTTTTTTTTTTCTAGGGCGATGGCGCAATGTGGAAGCAGCAGAAAGCCTCGGACCGAGGCCCAAAGCTCTGGTGTCAAACCAGACCTCCTACAAAAAGACGTCTCTAAAATCAGCAAGACAGTTTTTGTATTTGTTGTCGATCAAAATCAAATAAGACAATGAAATCGTTTTTATCAAATGCCTGCAAAATAAAATGCACAGCAATTGATCAATTAGCAATAATTAGTAGTACAGATTGATGTCGTTATGAATCCATGTCTGTGTGAGCATCGGAGGTTTATTAGACTAAATAAGTAAAGAAATAGGATCATAAAGACTAATGGACACAGCAGGGAGATTAAGGAAGTTTAACATAGGAATTTGTTGTAAAAACTCTTGCTTTAACCAAACCAAAGTGCCATTAACTAAAAATGGCCGCAACTAAATAAGGCACAACTGCAAACCTACCGAGACACGGCAAGAAACCATGAAGCAGCAGAGAGGCGCATGGTAAATCTAGAAGAGCTACGGCTAAACAATGTTTTGATAAAATTTTTGTTATAATCTGGATTAGACTCTCCCTGTTGAATACCAAACACAACTGTTATATTGTAATATAATACTGTAATGTGATAGGAAACATTTTTGAAAAGATGGATGGATATGCTTAAGACTAACAATGAAAAATAAATCTTTCAATTTTTACTGCTGATATAGCAATTGTAAATAATTGATGACTCAATAATTATATATTATTAATATTAATAATAATAAATAAGGCTATACATATATATTCCATATATATTAATAATAATAATAATAATAATAATAATAATAATATTTATTATATTATTATTAATAGTACATATTGCCTTAATAATTATACCTTATAACAACAGTATAATAATAATAATAATAATAATAATAATAATATTTGCTATCATTATTATATAATTATAATAACATTTATTAATAATATTATTGAGATAATTATGAAGTAACCAGATTCAGAGGTGTAAGTACTTTATAGCATTGTAGAGGGTCGTTCATGTTGTTTACTTCGCCTTTCTTCGGCCATAAAGTGTTTCTGCAGTTTCAGGATCATTTGAGTCTTTCTCCTCCCTCCAGACTCCCAGGAAGTTTCTATTCAAGACCTTGAACTCGAGCATTATTCTGGAGGCCCCCCATCAAAACATGCGATCTATGAGACACAGAGAGTCCCTCCCATGTTTAACAGTGGAGCGCGAAAAATTGCAAAAAAAAAAAAAAAAGAAAAAGAAAAAGAAAGAAACCCGTGATGATGGCGCCCACTGAGACGGAGGCAAACTGACGGACTGATCGACGCGCTAACAGGGGGCGTTCCCAGCGCGGATCGTCTTCTAATCTACACAGCACTGCGGATCATTTTTGTTTTATTTTTCAAATCAGCCGATCAGAGACACAAGCAGCGCCACGGGTGACAAAGCATCGCGCTGTGGGGAGAAGAGAGCAGGATGGATAGGTAGGAGGCGGCGTGGTGCCCCAACATGCACGATCTTACCTCTACAACTCCCACGGACTCTAAAGTGTTGTAGTTGCATGAACAGCTCTTACATTTCTTTTCTGTTTGCTACTGAATTACTGCACGTTTTTTTTTTTTTTTTTTGTACCCGTGAAACCTTCTGCAAAACAGCAGTCTGGCTGCAGAAAACGTAATCAATTTGTAACGCATTCCCGTCGTGCGTCTGCTTTGCATCGTCGGGAATTGCACCTCGCGGCGTTTTTCACTTAAGTACTTATAAAGTCAAACACGAAAAGCTAAAAATGAGGCGAACCTGAACGTTTCGTCAAGCTCCACTGCATTAACCCAATGCGTGCAGATGAGAGTGGGAGGGGCCTTTTTTTCTTGGCATGATTTGTGAAACCAACATCCCTCCACAGAGCCCGCTAGGACTGGTTGTAGATAGAGCAGAACCAGGCTTACTTCACTTGGCCCGAGTCAAGAAGAGAGCAGAGAGAGAGGTGGGGGGGGGGGGGGTTGAGGCTTGAGAAGCAATGACAGTCAGCAGATTGATGGGGCCACTAATCAGGAGTTTCTGGAGAAAAGCAAAAGCAGAAACTGCTTCTGCAGCTGGTCTGTTTATGCATGGAAAGTTATTTCTGTGCATCTTTACACTAACTTCTCCTGTTTCAGTTTACTGTTTTTGCACATTGTAAACACAATTCAAACAGAAACGTCGGGAGAGTTGGGTAATATTTTTTCCCATGGAAAAATGGAACAGAAATCGACCGGCAAACCAAAAACAATAATTAGTTTCTATTTTCGGTTTTCCACGAGCCACGCTGAGCAAACATATGGAAGAAGCTGCTCTGCTCATGAGAGCAGAACCGAAAGCGACCCTGAACAAACCATCCTGATGATGAAACACGGTGGTGGGAGTATCATGCTGGGGGCTAAACACACAATCCATGAATGAAACATGTGGAGGTTTCAACATCTGTGTGAGTGTAGCAGAGGTGTGTCCTTCCAGCAGGACAATGGCCCCAAACATATAACCACAGCTTCAGGTCAGGTATTAGAATATTGAGCTAAAAAGTGTCCTAGTCAAAGTCCAGATCTAAACCAAATGGAAATCCATGGCTACAGACGCTTTATCCAGTCTGACTGATATTGAGCTGTTTTGCAAAGACTGTGTAAACCCCCCCTAAATATTTCTAAAGCAAAGTTAGTTAAAAAAAAAAAGCTCAAAAGATCTGCAGATGTAACTGTAAGAATACAAAGACACGCCACAGTTTGAGTTTAATTTGTAACTCATGTTAAAGACCATCCATCATTTTGTTTGCAGTTCAGAATTGTTCTCTCCTCTATAATTACTCATTACATGAAATCCATTGAAATTGAAAGTGAAGCAGAGCCACTTTCAACTTCACAGCACTCAAAGCGAGCGAAAAGACAGCTGACGTGTCTTGGTTTGTATTAGAAATGCGGCGCAGCAGTGCGACGCGACGCGACGCGATGCACTCGCTGACCCTCTGTTGGATTTAAGCTTCGCTCTGGAGTGTATCGCCACTTTGTCACTTTGTACTTCTGTTCCTCTTTGTTTCTCATGTTCCATGCTCCACAAATTTAATTGTAATTCCAAAATTAAAACAACAAAAAAAATGTCAACACAGAGAAGAGAAAGGATCGTTTTCCTCGTTTCCTGTTTTCTCCCCCCATGCAGATGCGTGATTAGCCAGCAGGAGGTGCAAAGCTTCATTGAGAGGTGCCTAACAACCGTGGGCGCCAAACCCCATCATGCTAGCAGCCTAGCCGAGGTGCTGGTGACCGCAGACTGCAGGGGGCACTATAGCCATGGACTCAACAGGATGGGTCAGTCGATGTGGAAGCTTGTAAATATCCACCTTTCAGTGTCCATAACAGCAGCTTGTCGTTCTGTTGCACCGTTTGACGTCTGCTGTGTAATAATCCCTGCCTAAAATGTGCGTGCTGCTTACAACCCGTGTCCTTGCTGACAGATATGTACCTGAAGGACATACAGACAGGAGTGTGTGCAGTGGAGGGCGAGCCTGTGGTGGAGAAGGAGAGCGCAGCCACAGCGCTGGTGGACGGGAACAACCTGCTGGGCCCAGTCGTGGGAAACTTCTGCATGAATCTGGCTATCAGGAAGGCCAAAGAGGTTGGCATTGGCTGGGTGGTGGCGCATGGTGGGTCCCTCATGTTCTCTGGTTTTAATAGAGGCTGGGAAACAGAGTCAGGTTAGCCGTGTTGAATTGCAGACATATCTTAATAGGTGATTAGGGAAGAAAGGCAGGCAAAGAAAACAACAATAAATGGATGATAAACTTATGTCACTCTTCTCTCAAAGGCTCTAACCATTTTGGAATTGCTGGTTATTATTCAATGCAAGCCCTGAAAGAAAACATGATCGTGAGTGAGACTTCCCTTTTTCCATTAAAACTTTTTAATTTTATAACCGACACAAGGGAAGTACGTCTTCAGTCGTCTTTGCAGTCTTTATGTTGTTTCTGCAGGGTATGTCATTTACCAACACCTCCCCCTTGGTGGTCCCCACACGCGGTAAAGAGGTGAGAATGTCATTCAATCCATAGAATAAACCCATATGTGATGCTTCTGGACGTCAGCAACTCCAACTGAGAGGCTTTTTCCTTCTTTAGTCCCTGCATTTCCTAAAGCCTTAACACAATATAGAATGCATGTCCTAGATTTGTACATTTTCTTACATATAATTCTTGGAAAAACAATGTGAAACTGCACCCTGTAGCGCACGCTGGGCACCAACCCGCTGAGCGTGGCGGCTCCGGCCGAACACGGCGACAGCTTTGTCCTGGACACGGCCACTTCAGCGGTAGCGCTCGGAAAGGTGAGAGCCGGACTTTCATTGACGTATTTTGGTTTGTTGAAAAAGAGAGCAGCACATTAGTACTGAAAAACCTCGTTTTGAAGAGAATCCCAGCTTAGTCAGTCAACCTTTTGATACAGTTAACGTTTATTCATACCTGTAAGTGGCCCGGTTAATGTCAAATTAGGCATCGCATTTAAAATCAAATCAACAGCGTTAAATATACGTAAAGTCTTCATTCTCACCTGGTTGATGTAATGCGCACATACAGGTGGAGCTAAATGAGAGGCGAGGCGATCCGATCCCTGATGGATGGGGGTGTGACCCGGAGGGACACGTAACAACGGACCCAAAGAGTGTTCTGACCGGAGGAGGACTGGTCCCCATCGGTGGCAGTGAAGCCACAGGTTGGAGAATATGATAGAAATTAACATCAACATTACTTTACTTTAATCTTTCTCCAATTCCCCAATTCTATCAACAGTAAATTATTATTCAATGAATGAATATAAACTGTTAATTTGGATGCATCGGATCTACAGACGCAGTTGGGTAAATGTGTGCAGATTATTTTCTGGATGCTTCTGTTGCTGAATTTGGGCTTAGAAACTGAATTACATCACATCCACATGAACAACCATTGCATTTTTATCATCACAGTATTTGTAATCAAATCTAACACTGTAATATCACAAACTGAACAAAATCACCACTGGGCATATTTCACACTCCGACCACCAGATGGTAGAAAAGTCCTTCCAATGTGACTCTTGATTCTTGCTCCTTGGCTGGATTAAGACCACAAAGTGTTTGATTCAAATTAACAATAAAACAATATTAGGACACGAAGCACTCTAACCTAGAACCAAAGCAGAAGGTTCTAGGTATTCTAGACATTGTTTTCTACGCTCTCACTTACAGGGTTCAGCTTTGTTTCCCCGCCTTTCCTTTAGGTTCTTAAAAAGCTACTGGTTTAATAATATGCACTGCAAAATTTTATATAATTATTCCATTATTAAACTCCCACATAGTTTTTTGTTTAAATCAAACACACAATCCCTGATGTGTTGATGGCACTAAGGGTTAAATCTAGTCTCACAAATGTGCATCTTGACATAAATTCAATAAATATCTTTACTTGTAGAAATTAGGATCAAACTGTAATTTTGATGTAAAAAATGGACTATATTGTCCATCCTTTGTCTACTGTATCTTATGATTGGTTTATTTCTCAGTTTTGTTCAAAAAGCTACACGATAAAGAATCACCTCTCCAAATCTTAGTCCCAGGTTTGGTTTACCTTTTACTTTACGAATCCATGACATTGATCCTGAAAGAGAACGAACCTGTTGGAGAGCATAATGGTGGAGTTATGTTTATCGTGGCTCATTTGTTGAATGCAGGTGGCTACAAAGGTTACGGTCTTGGGATGATGGTGGAGGTCTTCTGTGGGATCCTGGCTGGAGCCCAGTACAGCAAATACGTCCGCACATGGAAAGTCACCGACCGCGTCGCCAACCTGGTACGTCCACGCTGTTTTTATCCGTTTTCACTTTTGACTTAGAAATATAGAAACATACAAGTCAGTCACATTCCTCTGTTTGTTGATAACCGAGGCACCAACTAGTTTCCTTCAGTGCCGTTTGTAAAATCCTCTTTAAAGAGTATATAGCAGACCGAGTGCTGCAGAGGTCAGAGTGCTGAAGGTCATGGAGAAGCTTTTATAACAGGGACTACGTTGTATCATTCAGTAGTTATAAATAGATTGTGGGGTTCCTCTAGGATTTGTTCTGAGCCCACTTAAATTTAACATGATTGATCTCTCCCTTCTCAAATGACTGAAAACTATGTCTGCTTCCAAATTTATGCTGATAAAGCAGCTTTTTATTTGTGTCGTCGCCTGACCTTAGTCCGCTATGATCCGTGAGTCAGTCTCTCTGTAACACCAGTGAGTGGATGAGTCAGAATTTCCTCCAGTTTATTGCAAATAGGTCAGAAATTTGGTCTGAGGAAAGCAGGGACAGAAAGAAGCACTCTGTTTTAAACTTTAACAATCACCAATATTAAAACATCGCCATGAAAATGAGTTTCCTGTTGAAATGAGACACAGAAAAACTATAAAGCTGTCTTTAGTGGCCTCTGTTAAAGAAAAAAAAAAAAACAACAACGAGGCAGCTCCTCCGTGATGCTGCTGTCAGAGTCCTGGTATATTTTCAAAATGGTGGTGTTAGGCCAAAGTTAATTACTGATTAGATTTGGCTACTTGTTCAGTGTTTCCAGGACCAGATTAAACTAGAATTAAATTAAACTAGAATTTAATTTTTAAAGTTGTCTTTCACTAATTGTTACAAGTCTATGCAATGTGCTTTAGATACTAGGATCTGTTTAAACACTTGTTAATTCCTGTTGTGATATGTATGGTGCTTTTTAAATAAACCTGTTTCCTTGCCTTGCAATGTTGTTAGTAGCCGATTAAAAACTACGTCTAATTTAAGCTCTACCAATAAGATCACTCAAGATGCTCAAGCAGTAATTCCATTAGAAGCCATTTTTTCCTCTAAGAGGAACTTTATAAAGTTCAGAGACAAATGGTTTTAAAAAAAACAAGAAAAAACATCAGTGAATAAACAAAATGTATTGTTTTTTGCTTCAGTGAAAAAGGTAGTCTGTACTGTCTTCATAATTTGTCTCGTTTTGGATTTCAGGGTCAGTGTTTTGTAGCAATCAACCCAGAAAACTTTGCTCCCGGATTCAACGAGAGAATGTCGGATCTGCTCTCCATCCAGAGAGACCAGGACCCTGTGAGTACGCAACGCTTCGAAAGAAAACAGCAGTAGCACTTTAGGTATTTTAGCTTATGTTTTATTTAATAACCCAGGAACAGACGTCTGCCTCTTAAGAATTTGCTTTAAGTTGTAAAATGCGGGCAGAGGCAGCAGCATATGTAAATGTATTTTTTTTGTGTGGATTGAATAGGAGCAGAGATTTCCTTCTTTTCTCCCCAACTTTTATTTGCTTTTTTTGTTTTTTGCTGCAGGCTGAGCCGGGCTCGCCTGTTTTGGCTCCTGGAGATCCGGAGAGGTTGAACATGAAGAAGTGTGAGGAGATAGGGGGAATACCCTACCACATCAACGTTGTCAAGTACATAGTAAGGACTGAAAAATGTCCAACATTAAGCATGTTTTTCTTTTTCTTTTACATGTAAGCTACATGTAGCTACATGTAGCTTACATGTAGCTTACATGTAGCTACATGTAAGCTACATGATCTTACATGTAGCTTACATGTAAGATCATGTAAGCTAATTGTGTGTCGAGCATTAAACATTACGTTCCACGCCGCCAGTTAAAAAGCTCTGCTAACCTATGGTGGCTCTAACTGAATGTGTTTTGATTCCTAGAGCAAGCTGCTGACTTTACCTTTGCATTTGTCTCTGCAGAACGATTACGTGAAGAAAATTGGCATCAGCCAGCTGCTGCCATGTGACAACGTCGTCTCCGTTTAGACGGTCAACCGTGGATGTTAAGCTTTGTAAATCTGTTGCTTCTACTCACTTTAACGCCAACGGAAGGAAACTTTATAGGAACAGGGTGACATTTTTAAAGCTACAAAGTAAAAAATTAACAGCAATAATTTGGGTTATTGAGACTGATAGAGGAAAAAATAGGGGTTCATTTTTCAGTCATACTTTCATCATGTTGGTCCATTTAGAAATGTCAGTTTCAAACTAGAAAAATAATTAGCAAGCTAAATACTTAGCCTCAAATAAAATATATAGCTAGCATGCTAAATATTTAGTTAGCAAGTTCAATATTTGGTTTCACACTAAATATTTAGTTTGTTAACTAAATACATTGTTTGAAGCTAAATATTTAGCTTCAAACTAAATAATTAATTTAAATATTTAGCTTGCTAATTAAATACTTTGCTTACCTAGCTAAGTATTTAGCTTACTGATAGGTATTTTTCTCGAACCTACATAAAAGAACCACAGACAACGTATATGAGTTTTCTGACCAAGCTTTTGCAAAAGGAGAAGACTCAGCAAACTGCTCCTCCAAGCCGTTCACTGAGCGTTCTAAAGACCTTTGGTTACAGCTTGTCTTTTATTATCAAACAACAAGAGGGAGGATAGGGAAGAAAGACAGCAGAGACAAAATATTACTGCACACAGGCAGTTTCTGAGTATTCTGGTTGATAAGGAGGCACCTGTGGAAACATAATTTAAGGTCTGGGAAACACACAGTTAACTTTCACATGAAGACAAACAAGCAGACGGGGCCTCCAGGTCAGTTTATGCACACAGAAGGAAGAGAACACTTTAATAATCTATAGACTGAATGTTGATTAACTATTGATTAACATTAGACTGAATATGAACTAAAGTAATAACAAAATGATAATACCAAAAAATCTCTAACACTTACTTAAACTCTTAGCTAGGTAAGCTAAGTGTTTAGGTAAGCTAAACACTTAGCTAGCGCCCTGCGACAGACTGGTGACTTGTCCAGGGTGAACCCCGCCTCTCGCCCGGAACGTTAACTGGAGATAGGTACCAGCAACCCTCCCGACCCACTAGGGACAAGGGTGTAAAGAAAATGGATGAATGGATGGGACACTTAGCTAGCAACCTAAATATTTAGCTTGCCAACTAAAGCTAAAGCTGTGGCATTTATAAATATGAATAACCTGAGGTTTGAAAGTCAAACCTCCCATTTTTTTCAGGCTAAATGACTCAGATTATTGCTAGTAATTTTTAACTATGTAATCTCCATATGTAGGGAGATTGTATTAATACAAAATGTATATTTGACATAAATATTTAAGTTATTATCGTACTAACCTTGCTATATTAACCCTTTGTAATGTGATTAGTCAGTTCGACTTCCATGGTGTAGCTGTGGGTAACACCGTCTACTGACTCAGTTGTGCAGAGCTTTCTGTGTGGACTTTGCATTTCCTCCTCCTCCGTTTATAGGTTTTGTCCTACTGCCCAAACACATGCATGTTGTGCTGATTGGATTTAACAGTTTGAAGGTGCACTGCTGTTGTTCACACTAGAAGAATCGGAAAATTAATTCACGGATAAATAGAAATGGGCAAATTTTAAAAAGTTGTAACGTAAACCCATAAGATATGTGGGGAAAATTACATTTTTCAAGGAGAGGAGGAGAAACAGATTTAAATGTAAACATCTAACGATCACACAGTTAATCTCAGACTAGAGCTCTGTAGCTTTGGTGATGAAAGTGAGTTAAGATGACTCTTGTATTATTAACTGAGCCGGTCATTTCCTGTTACGGAAACATTTTAGTCTTATTGAAAATATACAGGAACTGCTTTAATAGGGTGCATAAAATTATATAGCACAGATAAATTTGTTAATTCAATGGCAGGATATTCTGCTTTTTTAAAGTTTTACTTACAGACTGTAAACATCTTGTACAATTTTTTAAATAAAAACGTTTCTAAGTATTTGGGTTTTCATTAATCATTCCCCAAAACTTCCCCCTGGTGACTAAGAAACATTATCATTAAGAAACTACAAAAATTGAGATGTTTAATCTAATATTCATTAAATATTTCGTTACAGTTTTAATGTACCTGCATGTAAAATATAATGTCTGACATGTTGAATTGTTCTACTTTTTCACGTTAAAAGCCGACATAAACCCATGCATGACTTAAGTAAAAGAAAAAGGATAATGGTTTTCAAAATTTAACCTTGAAAAATGAAACATGCACTTTGTTGTTTATGAAAAAATACATACTGAGGGATAAAAGAGTGAAGAAGGGCTGAATACAAAGCACTCGAATCCAGATTTTTGTATCTATAAATGTTTCGAAAGCAGTGGATTATTTTTATTTCACATAATAATCAGGCATTATTTTTCATTGTTCAGTCACATATAGTTACAATAGAAAAAAAAGAATTAGACCACTTTTCATTAGAAAAATAAAATTATTCAATATAAGATTTCACAAAATAATTTTTCAAAAGTTAATTTCACTTTTAAAAAAACATTTTTTTATCTGTTTTGTCATGAAAAAATGTGTTTTATCTTTCAAATTTGCTTGAAAAGTTCCTAACTTTCTCGTTGAGCTTGTTTATGTTTACTTAAATAATCATAATTTTGGATCATAACTTTATTTTAAAAATTACTTATAGGTGAGAAATATTTGGACAACGTGTGCATGCTGAAAACAAAAAGTTTAATCATTTCATCTGAATTTATGCGGTAGGCGGAGACTCGGGAATAAATCATCCTTTCAAGTTCAGATTCAAATGTTTTTGTTTATCTTTACTCCATCTATCATAATCATAAATTGTTTGCACCATTGTTTTTTTTTATTCCAGTGACTAATAAAAAAAGTCACTGGAATAACTTTTTCCAGTGACAGATAAAAACCGGTTTACGGTTTTTATCTGTAAACCGTCGGTTTACAGATAAAAAGCTAGTTGATACCTTCACAAACTGGCCTCCATAACCATGAAGGAGAAGGCGGACTCCACCTTCACAGATGTCTAGATTAGGACCTTAATCTGCCATGCCAAAAGTTCTGGCACTGTATTCTGGACCCTGGATGTCCAGTTCACACTCCACTGGTTGCAAACAAAAGAGGAGAAATCAACAAATCAATGGGCTTTAAATCCCACCAGGGAGGGAAAGGAGGTGGGGACGGAGTGCTGTGGGAGTGGGACTAGTGAGTTTTGGGCTAGTGAGTGGGGTGGGGGGCGGATGGGCAAATTAAGAAGCCAGTTCAAACAGTTGTTGTATAAGGCAGACTTAAGAGGTGTGTGTGTGTGTGTGTGTGTGTGTGTGCGTGTGTAGAGGGGTGGATGTTTGGATGGATGGATGGATGCTGGGGGTCTAATCTGCCCTGGCCTTGGCCTGGTGCCCTTGTACGGATTAAACGGGGCCCCTAAGAGCCCAGGGAGCACCGCCGCTGGCTGGGATTAAGCAGATTCTAACAGGTGTTTTCTTTTGTGACACTAAGGGGGGATCAGTCCATCACTCGCTCAAAAGAGCAAATCATGAAGTCGGTGGTGTGTCGATGCCAACAAGGCAGACATGTTTGTGTATGAATTGGATAATATTTAGTTTGTGCTTTATTAACCTTATAAGACCTAAGTTTCAATGTCCGCCTGGGTATTTTTGCTTATTTTAATTGTACGTAGTTCTTAAAAATCCCCTGTGAGGAAATATATATTGCCCATTTAACCATAACAACTGGAACTTTCAATATTTAGCAAGTTATTTTCACAATTTACCGTCTATTAAAACACTGTTTCATCAGATTAGTTTCACTCCCTGCTATGGCGGGGGTGAAATTACCGTAATAACACGATATTGGCTGGAAAGCGCAACGTCTCTCCTTTAGAAAACCGTTTGAATTTGTAAGATAGCTCAACGTGTGGCAGAATTACGGTACCGTAAATCTGACTGGATCGTCGCCGATCCGTTCAGTCTGGAAGGGTTAAAAGAGAACCGGTGAGTACCTTAAGTAACGGGATCAGAAGCTCATAAGATGTAGGCAAGTAAGAAAACAATAACAACAAATGATTTGCATCCATTATGCTTCAGTGATGTGTAGAGTATTTTAGGAGGACGTATTAATTTCTAGAGAACTTTTCAAAATATAGGATGCTTTTTTCATCCAATACAAAGACAACACTTAGACTTTTACACAATCCAAGGGATTTATACAAAAAAAGAAAAGGTCCAAGCACTGGATCTTGCAACACACCTTCCAGCTGTGCCAGGAGAAATTGTTTGAACCAGTTCAAAAGAAGAAGAATCTCGGGACATTTTTCTAATGGTTCAAGCATTAAAGTTTCACCACAATCTACATGCCATTGGTATACTGACGAAAGTTTGTCTTTCGTATAGCTTTGATGAAAAGACAATACCCGCGTTAATGGTGAATTTCTGTTTGCAAAGTGGAGGAAAGCAAAGACGCTGTTGCAGAAGAGCAGCACTTTTCCATTATATACGACAAGCGTGGATCAAAAATTCTCATTTTAGGTCTTGAGAAGTAGAAATGTAGTTTTAAAGCACAGAATCCTTCTACCTGTGAAACAACACCTCGGAGAGATGTGAAAAGGCTCCTCGTAATCTCCTTTGGGGAGTGGATATGCGTACATGTGCATGTAACGACAGACAGGAGGGAGGAGAGTGGGGAGAGCTCCAAAAGCCTCTGCTGCTCTCATGCTGAGTCTTTAATGAAGTGAAACGGCTGCCCGGTCAGTTCCTCCCAGCTGTTGTCCCCACAAAGCCAAGATATTTGCCCTTGGCTCTTTGTCCCCGCTCGGGCTGCCGTACCTCCAAATGACCCGCAGGAACACATCGAAATAAAAGCAACGCATCTGCTGCGCTGTTGACTCCAACTGCTCAGGAATGCAACCATGTCTCCATCTGTTGACCCCCGGATCAGGACCGAAGCCGGTACCGGTAGGTGTCGACAGTAGAAGAAAAATCACGGACTGGCTGCTGTTTAAAGTCGAAAACGAGAACATTGTACATTCAAAAAGCATCATGTTTGTCTCATCGTATGTTCCAAAGTAATAACTTTAAGTCAAATTTTTATCTATCTTGAATTTATTTGAACAATAAGTTTCCTTCTCGCAGAAAATAGAATGAAGATGTTATAAAATGGCTATCTTAGATAAATCTGGTTATCTCAGAAAAAAATAAGAATGAATTTTTAGTAGAACACATTTTTTCAGTTGTTTTTGAAAATATAAGTAACTTTACGTCCTAATGCTGCACTTTCTA